TTTGCTCGGCGTCTCCCTGGTCTGCTGGCTCCCCCAGCAGACCAAGGAGACGGGGAGCAGCTTTTCTCGCCCCGGAGGAGGCGGGCGGCGGGACCAGGCGTCCCGCCACTCCAGTCCTCTGGGGCGAGAAAATCCCCATTCGTAACTGCGGATCCGACGAAAGTCGGATCCACGTAACTCGGGGACTGTCTGTATCTATGATAAAATCCTCCTCTTGAAATCATTAACAGGACTCTGATTTCGCCGCCCCCCCGCCCCAGTCCTCTGGGGCGAGAAAATCCCCATTCGTAACTGCGGATCCGACGAAAGTCGGATCCACGTAACTCGGGGACTGTCTGTATCTATGATAAAATCCTCCTCTTGAAATCATTAACAGGACTCTGATTTCAGTGGGCCAGGATTTCAACATTAATTTGCAGTGTTTAAGCATTTCTGAACAATCTATGCTAAGACATTATTAAATAGTAGAGAAAAACACTGAATCAATTTTTCGACTGGCGTAATGGCAATGAGTCTGTAGATTTATTCCTATGGAAAATAATATCTTTCCCTCCCACCACCCTCAAAAAGTGCTGCCTACGTCAGAAAATGTTCTAGCATAATCCATTAGAAATTTTGCCAGCGCTAACCTTTCATATGTTATAAACATTTTTCATTTAATTTAGTGTTTCATTTCATTTAGTTTGCACTACCTGCCTGTGTGTAAGATGATCTGTAGCTATGCTGTGGTTATGATCAAGACTCATATATAAAATAAACTTGATTCAAGTGTGAGAAAAGGACAAATCTGACAAAGAAAAAATATATTTAAAAATAAATGTATGAATAGAAAGTAAAAATCAAACATAGGAAGAATTTAAAAAATGCATTTGTCTGGGTGTTCTTGATTGAGTGGCAATAAAATGTAGTTTAAATATACAAATGAAGATCATGTGCTCAAGAGTTACAATCTCAGCTTTAACAAAAAACAGGACTATGTAGCACTTTAAAGACTAATAAGATGGTTTATTAGGAGATGAGCTTTCATGGGTCAGAAATCTGAAATTTGATTTGCCCTTTTCATATGTGTTCATTTTTTTTAATTGTATCCTTTGGTATATATGGTTGTGACTATTTTCTTCCACTATTTGATCTGAGGAAGTGGGTCTGGCCCACGAAAGCTCATCATCTAATCAGCTT